GTGCAGCAGTGACGTGACTCCCTGGCGATGGCACTGCTGCCCACAGCATTCCACAGCTTGGAATGACGCAGGTGGCAGCTCCTGGCTGTGACATGGAGGTGCAGGGCTTAGCAGGGAAGTAAAGACAGTGTAACAGCTACTGTGACAAAGAACATTTTGAACTGTTTTTACAATCTAAGTCGTTCCTCTGCCCCCTCTGCAGTCTCTGGTTGCTGGATCACAACCCTTTGCATTTGGTGCCGAGAATTCAATTGAATGCCATTTACTGTCACATGTTTGAGTAGACTGCATGCTTTCCTTGTGTGCTGGGCTATGAGTAGATACATTTCACCCCCCATTTGGAATATACTTAAGCATTGCAAATAGGCAGTGAGCATTAGAGTGGATAAAGTGGTGTTGTTAAATACTTCTTTCCAGGACATTTGATCAAAGGACTGTACCAAATCTCTGCCACATAAGGATGTAATGTATAATATAAAGTGATTACAGATGTTATTATTCCTATACAAGCCATTAGCTCATTTAGAGCAGCTGTTAAGGCATGAAGGCATTTTGATGGTAAGTGGGTCTTAGGCCCCACAAAAGCTGCTAATACTTTAGTAAAGATAAGCATTGACTAAGGTTTGCAAACAGGCCAAGATCAATCTGGTAAAAATGACCCTAGAAGAAGTTCAAGAGTGAGTGAGTGGCTTTCACTCTTATGGATGTTTGGTTGAACCCTCAGACTAGTGGTGCTTTATGTAAATAACAAAGAGGACGAAAGCACTAAAACAGGAGATGAAGCAAAACCAAACCCCACTCTTTACTAACTGAGCCTCTGAGCAAAACAGTAGATGTCTGTCTCACCTCTGCCATCACCTTTGCAGGCACCTGAATGTTTTTCTTTCTGTCTCAGTGGAGGCTGGTGTTGCAGATATCTTAGTGTGTGAGTCAGGATAGCTGTGATGCAGGTAGATAGTTCCATTTGAGTAGGTAAAGGCTTATTCAGATTTTTTTTGCCTGTGAAGCCATTGCTTGATTATGATTTGCACTGTGGTGATGAATTCCCGTGGCTCTTCTAACCCTCCATATCTAAACCCTGTGATTTTGGACATTTTCCATTCATGACTAAAGGACCTGAGAGTTCTGTACCTTTTTGGAAAATGATTTTGTCCTACAGAGAGTGCAGCTTACATGTTTTGTGCTGGTCATTTACCTCAGAAATGACACATAGGCTCTCAGGAACATGAATCTTCTTGGTCTACTGTAGTTATCAGCATCTTGAGGGAAGAATTGATTCCTTTCAGTCCCCTAAGGAAATATGCAGCGATGTTTTCTTGTAGTGCAATTCCTTTATCCTCTCCCTAAAATGAGGCCATTCTGGTTTCAGTAATTTTTGCAGTGCTGGTGTCTACTCCTGCCCTAAGCACAGGACAGGGAAGGGGTAGGGAGCATTGACTGCATATTAATAGGTACAGTAAGCTTTTGTGTGAGGAAGAGAGAGATGGGGAAGGGTTATCCTGGGTATATGAAACTGCCAAAATGAAGATTTGTTGCTGAGAGATGGAATGATGAAAACCTGTACTTCGGAGTTTTCATTTTGAGGAATCTCATTCTGATGGTGAAATGACAGTGGGAAGTCTCTGTTTGAACTGAAGAGGAGAAATCAGATATTGCCAGTCCATTTCCTCCCTCTGCTGTGAGCAGGATGACAGTGTGCAAATCCTGTATCCCCCATATCCCTGCGATACCCTCCTGCAAAATGGGAGCTATTGAATTTCCCTCCTGTTGAATTATGATGCTAAATTTTACCACGTATGCAAAAACTGGGGAGCCTTCAGGGGAAAGCCAAGCACTGAACCCCGTATGTCCCACTGTGCCCTCCATGAGTGCCAGTGGCAGGACCCTGTGGAGCAGTCTAGAGCTGGAGCAGGGCAGAGGATTGCTGATGAAATGTCTCCTCTCCCAGCTCACCATCTCGTTGTGACAACTGCAAAGGTGTGGGCTGGATTATCACAATTCTCCTCCCTACTTTGCTTTTGGAAACATTTTTCCCCCCCCAAAAAAAATGTTTTATCCTGCTGGACCAAAGTTTGAGTCACTCCTGCTCCACGAGTGTCCTGAGGATGACAGGTAACTCAGCCCCAGGGCCAGGCAGCAGTGGCACAGACCCTGCTCCTTGAGCGCTGACTGTGCCACAGCTGCTCACACACTGACCCTGAGCAGGGAGCCCACAACCAGTAACTGTGTCTGTAACCCTCCAGCAGTGCTGGTGAGCCAGAGGCAGCTCCCTGTTTCTGTCTCCATGTTCCAAACCCAGGGCACAGGGCAGCCCTGGCAGCTGCTGCTGGGCAGGGACCAGGCCCTCAGTCAGGGAGACAGAGTTTGCTTTGAGGAAGATCAAAGTTCAGGGACAGATCAAGCTGCTGACAAGTCCAGGAACAGCCCACAAGAAGTAACCCTCTGGCTTTGCTGATGAGACAAAATGGGGTTTGATGACTTTTTGTTTGCTTTCTTTTTTTTTTTTTTAATGGTAGACAGGATAGTCTTTTAATTAGTGTATTTCTGTCAGGCAAGGTGATAATTATGGGAATGACTCTCCATGTGCAGTCTAGAGTACATTTGGTAATGTCCAGCAAGACTAATGTGTATGTTAAGGTACACTTTGTATGTAGGCCTTTGACACCATCCTTTTCAGGTAGACACACCTAAAAAATCATAGTTTTCAAAGATGGATTTCATTTCAGTGTTGTTTGGAGATGATACGGTGACCAGAAAGTAATTTAGAAGTAACAGCTGCCACTAAGTTTTGGTTGTAGAAGACACAAGATCCCAGGTAAATCTGGGCTGTAGCAGCACTCGTGGCTGAGCAGTGCCCGTGCTGCTGGACCAGCGAGTCCGTGCCAGCTGTGCTGGTGAGACCTGCCCTCTGGGCTCAGGGTCCCCTCTGCTCTGCTGCTCTTCTGGGAAACTCCCAGGAATTTCCCATCCTCAGAAGTGCCCCCTGCTCGGGCAGGTGCAGGTGGGCAGCACAGCCCTCCCTCACCCATGGCAAAGAGCCGGGCAGGTGCCACGACACACGAGTCTTGCTTGTAGTAAACCAGGTTAACATTTAATCAGGCCTGATCCTCTCCTCTCACCTCGAGCCCCACAGGGTGGAGAATCACACCAATGGTCGTTGTCTTGATCATAAACAGCTGCAGCCAAACCACCACGTCTGAGCTCTGGCTCTTCTTGCCAGTGACGGCAAAGCTCTGTGTGTGTGTCTTATGTTCTGGTTGTGTGTGTGATGACAAGCCATTTTATTATCTATGATTTTCTTAGACTCTTGATATTTCAAACAGGATTGGGTATGAGAAAGGCCATGTGCTTCCTTTCCAAAAATACTAAAAGACTTCAAATATATATATGATTAGAAATATATAAGAATAATAAGAAAAAAGAGCCAAAATGTGTATTTCTTCTTGCAGCTGGAGCTGAAATAGCTGCTAAGATTTCCTCTCCCCAGCTGAGAATTGGTACAGTTTGTTTTTCTTACATGATTTCCATGGTGTTGATAATGATGTATTTGTATATTGTGATTGATGAGAGATAATCAGACAGGGAAAGAGCACAGAATTACCTGTCCTTTTTTCCAGTCAAGACAGAATGTATGAATTTATTACAAGAAAAAAGTGTGCAAATGAACTTCCTGTAATTAGGCCATTCTGACCTGTGTAGAACCACACTTTGTTTGAAATTTATAAAAATTATAACTAGTACAAAATCCTGTGGTTGATGTCTCTATATGAAGCAACAAGTCAAATGAGGTTTTTCCTATTCTAAATAAATGCATATTAGTAAAGGCACACCATCACAGCTGAGAAAATCCACATACCTGTTCAGTATAACTTTAATTTGCCCAACACACGTCACAAAAGACACAGACAGTGTTTACCCATCTCCTTTAGTCGTGTTCCTGAACACCTGGGACTTTTTGGATAAGTTCACACAGCTCAGAGGAAGTTGTAGGATGGCTTTATTTTACTTACCCCCAAGATATCTGCATGCCTTTGGCCACCAGTGCTTATTAGGGAGCAGTAATTGAGCCAAATACATGCTGTGGATCATGTAGAAAAGCAAACAGGTAAAAATAAGGATGCAGAAACACAATGCAAATCGAGCACAATAAACTGGAACTAATTTCAGCCAGTACCCCGATTTCTGGGGGGCAAACGTCACCTCACTTGAACTGTCAAATCACTGACCCTATCACGTTATTGCAGTGTAGTATTGGTATGAGAGAAAGAGGAATTAGGAGCACAGCAGATGTGCCCCCACCCAGCTGGCCCCATGGCAGCGTCCCAGGGCTGGGAATGTGGCCGTGGGGGTGAGCAGGAGTGACGCTCTCCTGTTGCAGATCCCTGGGGTGCAGCTCCGCACGCCGGGACCTGCCCGTGCTGCTCCTGCCCCAGCCTGGCGTGGTCTGCAGGAGGCCCTTCGAGGGACAGAGGTGAGGTGTTGCCATTTGCTGAGGAGTGTGTTTGGATACATCGCTCGTGGTGAGCCCCCCCAGCTGATCGATCTTCAACAAGCCCAGGCAGTGCCAGCAAAGGCTGCTGATGGTCCCCACCTGAGACAAGAGCCCATCTGGGGCTCTGCTCAGCCCTGTCTCGCTCTTAGCAGGTGCTCTGTAGAGATGGCTTGAGGTCACACCTCTCCCTTCTGTGCCTTAACATAAAAGAAGGAGCTTGGCCCTAAAAAAAGTACTTTATTAAAGTAGGGGAGGTACTGATTTACAGGCTGTGACCCTCTGCTGGTGCAGTCTGCACCAGGTTATCAGAGCTGGAGGGATCTTTTGACCTGGTCTTGCAGAGCCCCAGGTCTCAGCTGCAGAGTGCAAGCCTGTCCTACCCCAGTCAGCCCGGCACTCATTTCTGTTTTCGCTTTCTTTCCTAACCATCATTTATTTCCTTCTGTGGTAGTTTACAGACAAGAAGCACTGGCCTCCCCCTCCCTCTCCACCTCCTTCCCAGCCATGTGACTGAGCACTCCCAGCATCAAGTGAAACTTTTCAGTCCCCAGGAAAGCTTGATTTTCTCTCCACCCGCTCCCCGGTGAGAAGCAGCATCTCCCCCACCTGCCATGGGGAGGAGTGCACGGCAGCTCGTCTTGCTGACCTTCGGCTGTGGTGAGTAACATCTCCATTTCTATCTGAGAGATCAGACATATTATGCCAGTTCTGTTTCCTGGCAGTCAGGACAGCACCTGACAGACTAAAAACTTTGAACAGTTCTTTTGGTAGCACCAAGGGGGCTTTTAGTGAAGTCTCACTGCTAAGAAATAACCATAACTACAGTGAATTGCAGCTGGTATAGACTTAGTCGGATGTTTTCCTCTGTATTTCTCCTTGCACTCTGTGGCGACATAAACTCTCACTGTGTGAAGGAGTCAGCCTAAAGCAGTGTGAGAAGCAGACTTTCTTGGCCTTGCTTTTCTTAATTAAAAATAATTTCCAGACCAGCAGAACTGACTGAAAGTCTTGAGTGAGACAAGCAGGAAAGAAGAAACTTAGGCAGCATTGCTCTCTCTAGTAATTAATTCATTTGCATTGCAAGATGCAGAAGCAGGATCAGGAAAGCAGGGAGCTTGCAGAGGGCAGGCTGGGGTTTTACTTAATGACAAACCACATCAGAGTCACCGCTGGATCCTCAGTGCTGCTCTGTGGAAATCTGTGGATTTCCAGCCAGATCAAGGACATCTCCCAGTGCTTGAAGTCACCCCTCAACCCCTGCAGCAGTACAAAATTTGCCTTGTGAAGAAGGACAGAGCGTGATTTACTCTGTGTAATGGCCAAGGGGCTTTGAGCTCGCTGTTGGGACACTGCACTTCTGTGGTGGGTTTTGCCATCGGCACTCAGGGATCACACCAGCAACAATTCCCGTCCTCCTCCCAGGGCATGAACAGGGAAACTGCCCAGGGACTCGTCCATGAGCAGCTCCTGCTGTATCTCTCTGTGTTCCCATGCCTGCTACATAGCCAGAGTCTGCTGAAGTAGCCCCAAAAACATACACATGAAAGGAGGGCAAGATAGACGGAGCAGTAACACTAAGAACTCAGTGGTCAGCAACCACTCTTGGGCAGAAAGAACTTGTTTCCTCAGCTCCTTATCCATTTTTGATCTTTCCTTTAATGATTTGTTGGGATGTTTTATTAATGTCCCAAGGCCAAGTCTTTCTGTGCAGACAGGGAATTAGACATAATTAGAGTTTAAGGGATAAAGGTCAGATGGGTGGGAAGCTATGACAGTACTGAAAACTCTCATAAAATCTTGGTGCTTTTCCAATTCCTCAAAGCAAACCAAAGGAGCCAGAGATGGTGAGAGTGTTTTCAGTGATCACAGGAGCTGGGTTAGGTTTTGTGTCCACATGGAATCAGTCAGCTAAACACGAGCATTTCTTCTGGCAGCAGAAAGCAGAACAAACCCACTGGGCAGCTGAACAGCGTGAGTGTGGTTAGATGAAAAGGGGAAAAAAATCCTCAGTAAGAGTTTCTATCACCCACCCTGTTACAAGATGGCAAGCTGAGAAATGTCACAGGCAGATCATGGCACTGAGCACTCCCCTTCCCACCATAATGCCTGAGAGCAGAGCAGTGACATTCCTTATGACTGAAACTTGTCACCAAAGCATGAAAATGGGATCTCCAGGCTCAGACTGGGAACAGTGAATTTCTGAGACCTGCCCTGATCCATTTCTGAGAGTTTTGTTCTGGAGCTTTGCATAGAGGCTGCCTGGACCCAAACACAGCCCTCAGCATCTGTGACATACAACTGATGCTGAAGTAAGATGAGGCATTGCAGCTGCTTCCTCTAGGATGATACACCCCCGGACTCTTGCAGCCCTCAAAATGTTGCTTGTAAGAAGTTTTGAGTTGGCTTTATGGGAGGGAAAAAATGGGAGACTAACAGGGTGGGTGGGGAGGCAGGTGGGGTGCAGAGCTGCCATTTCTCGATGTTCTGCAGCATTTGTTCTGTTCCCATTTTGTGGCAGAGCCATGGGAAGGGCTGTGGTGGGGGGAGCTCTGCAGGTGGCTCCTCTGCCGAGCTGTGCAAGCTCCCCGAGAGGAACGTGGCAGTGCTGAGGGAGCCACAGGGAAGCCTTTCTGGCCTTAGCTGGAGGGCAGGTCAAGGACCCCTCCCACAGCAGAGCTACTGAACTACCTCCAACAGCCACCAGAAAAGAGCCAAGACCACGAGGTGCACACAGAGAGCAATCCTTACCCATCCCTGGGAGCTCCTGTGGCCAAATGCCTTTTGAGAAGACATTTCAAGCCAAGGGTTTAGCAGCATGGCCTGCACTGACAGGAGCTCCAAAATGCTTGGGAGAGCCCAGAGGAGTGGTCTGGTACATCACCCAGTGAGCAAGAGCCATGGGCCACCCCAAAGACATTTCTGGCTTTACCCCTCAGTGACCCTGTCAGACAGAATAATGAAAAATTGTTTGGTTGAAATTACCTTTTGGGGATACCAAAGTTTCATTTAAAAGCTATGGGTGGTATTGCAATGTCAGTTAAATAATATTTCTCTCCACATCTGTAAAGTGTTATCTGGTCAGTAATCAAAACCAGTCTGTGAACTAACAACTAATAAGTACTGACTTTATTTTAGACTTGTGTAAATTTAAATATGGGTTGTTTCACAGTCTTATGGGGAAGAAAGAATGAAAATTGCAACTTCTTCTTTCTTGTTTTTATCATGCTGATACACTCAGATGCAACTACCCATTGCTGGTTTATGGCAACTGCTCTGACTTTCCACTGGCACACAGAGGAAATCAGTTATCTGCTTTTCAGCTCTATGGTAAAGCCTAGAGGAAAGTGAGAAAATGAACTAAAGTATCATATTAAGTATGCATTTTTATGTTCATTTTGATAAAAATCACAATATTTTTGAGGCTTTTCAACTGTCTTAAATTGCGCTTCTTTGATGGTTACAGCTACACTTGCAGTCAAGTGTATCCTGTACAGCACAAATTTTAGGAGTATGAGTACATGCACTTCTGCTCTTCTCAGCCAAAGTCATTTTTAAGGGAAAATTGTGGTGTGGGTTAAGATCTGTACATTTGCTCTTGTTCCTTTGACTTTGGTCTTGAATTTGATTCAAAACCCAATAGGGGTTTTCTTTTAGCTTTCTTTTAGCTTGACCTTGCCTTTCCAGAGCCTTGTTGCATGCTCACAGTCAAAGATTTGAGCAGAAGAGTTGTGACATTCTACAATGTACTTTCCCATTTTTCGTTCACTTCCTTATTTACAGTTAGGAACCACTTTTTTTTTTTTTCCTTCAGCAAGTGACATTTTCTGTAAATGTTATTCAATGGAAGTGTAATTTTAGTGCTGTGACTATTTTCCAGTGTGGTCCAAAATGCCCCTGGGTGCTGTACCCTGAAATTGTTCCTCATTGCTAAAAGCCCATCATGAAGAGGGATGGCATTTCTTTGGGTTCTTCCAGGAGGAGGAGCTTCAGGGTTCAAGCTGACATGGCTACAACAAAACCATGAATAAATATCTGGAATTTCCCTGTGTCCCAGACTGGTGTCCCAGACTATTGCAAATCACTGTAAGACCATTGCTCTGCCCTCACACACACACTTTCCCTTTCCCTGTACTTTGCTGGTAAGTAACCAACAACCCCTTTGCCTGTTACACCTCCCTCATCTTCCTTAGACCTCAATAATTTACTTCCTGCAAGTACTTCCAGCTGTACTACTGCCTGCAGGGAACTCTTGTGCTGCCTGGGGATTATTCCTGGTCTGCTCACACCTCTGGTGTCCTCTGGATTCTTCAGTGTGTGGAGAGCTGGGAGCCAATGTGCTGCCACTGCAAGGGGTGCATTCAGAGCTGTGAAACCTGGGGGAGTGGTGACAAGTTATGGATAGTCTTACAGGGTGTCTGCCTTCACTCTCCTGTCATGACTGGAGCCAAACGAAGAATAAAATCATATCACATCACCCATTTGATAACAAAACAGTGCAGTTTTGTTGTGGGAATCAGCAGAAATGTTAAAGGTTTCTCGACTACTGACTTTACTTTCTTTGCAGCATTTTCCTCCTGCCTTGCTGAAGTGGCCTTGAGGGTTGAACTGTCTCCAGAAACCACGTCCTTCCACCATACGGCTACTTCTGCTCAGCCACTTTCCCTTTATCATTCCTCACCCCATGAAAGCACCACAGTTCACTTTAACAGCACAGTCTCTCTTGAAACAACACCCACAAGCCACAGAACAACAGTGCAGACAACGGAGCAGCACCAGGAAACAATAGCTCCAGACCAGCACACCACAGCCCAGGCAGGAGCTGGAACACCCACCCCCACCACCACACCAGCAGACAACACCAGTGCAGCTGGCCATGCCACAGCCCAGGCCGTGCACAGGGTCACACCCACAGTGAAGAACACAACCACACCCCTTGTGTCCTCCACACATGTGGGCACCGCAGTGACAGCCACCAACACGTCCCTAAAACACACGACAGCAAATACTGCTGCTGCCAACACCTCTACAGCCGCCACCGTGCAGACAGTCAGAGCCACCACACAGTCAGGAAAACAAACAACAGCGACCAGAAACACAACAGCCATAGCCATGACCAACACGACAACCGCCCATCCAGGGACCCAAACAGCCACCCCATCTACCACAGTGACAGTGAGACCCACTCCTGCCCCGCAGCCTTCTTCCATCCCCACCGGCACTTACACCGTCTCCAGCGGGAACAGGACCTGCATCAAAGCAGTCATGGGTTTGCAGCTGATGGGTCAAAATACACAAAAGGTGAGGTGGGAGCTGAGCTTTGTAATGACTGTTTCTTCATTAGCTGGAATTTATTCTTCTTTCCAAGGCATTTTCAGAAGTTAGTTCTATGATTAAGATAAGTGGTTTGCCGCCAGTAAGGCCCTTCATGTGCCCCAGCATCTCGGCTGCTGAATTTTGGCTTGTATGATGATGCCAGGGGGACATACACGTGTTTTCTTATTTCAGTGATGTACATGTGGGAGCAATACTGGAGTGGCAGATCAGCCTGAAACATTACCTGTGTTTCTTAGAATGGAAGACTAATTAAAATCTGAATTGACTTCAGTGAAGGGCTTGACATTGTGAGTTACAATGAAGGCAAGAAATTGCCAGTTCACAGGCTGGGATTCAGAAGTGGGTTGTCTTGATGCTGATGCACTGAGATTTTAGGAACACAGAAACTTCCAGGTCCTGGAAAGCTGGTACCCTCTCCTAGAAGTGATCCACTGGGAATGATTCAGCAAAAGGTGTCATGCAACCTGAAATGGTGATTATGTCCCTCAGACTTGTGGTTTTGTAGCCTTCCATTGATACAATACTTGGGGTTACATCCTCAGGTTCTCGAGTTCATACACCTTGAGCCATCCCCATTACAAATCCAAATAATCTTGTTTGGAGTCTGGATATTTCTAACATGGGATGAGTATCTAAGGTTGGTAAAAGTAATTTTCATCCCTCATCCTGGCAGAAGCCAGGTAGGGAGCATGATTGCCAACCTCAGCAGACCACAGTGAGATGCTTCTAACATAAAGTGTGTTTGAGATGAGACTGAGAGAGCAAAGCTCCCTTCAGGGCTGCAGAGCTCTCCTTTCAGACTGCAGTATAGGTTGTTAGATGCTAAAGATGATGTGCAGGACCTAATGAGGAGGGTGGGGTGGTATGTGGAGCCAAACTAACCCTTGCCTGCTCCTCTCTTGATCTTTGCCTTCAGGCACAAGTTTCCACTGCTCCCTCCTTATAAATTACCACTTGTACTCATCTGACACTGCTCTGAATCGTATCAGTCCACTGAATGAACAGAAACCAAATATTTTCATATTTTCACAGCTCAGTGATGTGTCAGATGCTGGTTTATGAGTGGGGAATGACCCTGGCAGGCAGCAATTCGGCTGCCACCACCACTGGCCTGTTCATTTGGCCACAGAGAGCCTGTCTGGGGGGGAAAAAGCAAAGCAGACATAAATCTCTGTGTGTTCTTACAATGTTCCCCATCTCTTCATCAGCAGCCCTGCAATGTCTCTTCTCTCTACAGGAGCAGATGGAGTCTGTGGTTGTTAACCCCAATGCAACACAGACATCTGGAAGCTGTGGGATGGTGCAGTCTGAGCTGAACTTAACTTTCAGTGGAGGGTTTGTGAACTTCACCTTTGTAAAGGTAATTGTTGCCTTTAGAGAGGAGTGTTTAGGATGGGGGAACTATAACTTAGGCTCCCTTTGATCCATCTCATCTCTCTCCATGCTTGTTTTCTACCTGTACATAAGGCACTGTCCTTCCTAAAGGGGTACATCATAGAACCACAGATTAGTTCATGTTAAAAAAGACCTGGTCCAACATCCTGCTCAAAGCAAGTCTTGTCTGTTTGAACATTCAGCTTGGAAAGGTTCATACCTGCAGTGAAGGGTAAGCCTGGTGCCTTGCCATCCTATGACAGAAAGTTCTAAAGAGCAGTGTTAAAGCTCCCCATCAAGCAACACAAAGTCTACAAATAGCCTCGAGCAAAATCTGTCTTGTTTTTTACATAGGTAAATGCCAGGTCTGCTGTTTGCATTGGAGTGGGACAGAGGGAAAGGGTTTGGGACTGGAGTCCCTGTGCAGGAACAAGGTGTGTGTGCAGGGAGCTCTGACTCACTGTCAAGCTGCTCTTAGTCATTTGCTTCCCAGAAAAGCCAGCTGGGGTTGTTAAATTCGAAGGACAGCCTGTGCAGTTTTAAGTGCCCAGGAGCCACAACACATCCACAGCTGAAGGAGCCTCATTTCATCTAATTTCTGAGGGGAAAATTCCAAACAAGTGAACTGCAACAACAAAATTGTAAATAAGTGTCCTTGAAATGCACCACACCTGGGAGACCTACACGTATGCACAGAAACATGGGCAGGGAGGAAAACAGGGTTGGATCCCATCAAATTCTGATGAGTGTAATGTGCATCAAGGCCATGTCCTGGAGCTCCAGAGCTGCATCTGGCCATCACTGCTGATCCAAGCCTTTCAATTAATCAAGCCAAAGTGTCAATCTTACAGCCTGGCTCCAAACTCAAATTAGAGATAATTAAGAAAAGTACAAATGCTTAGTGATTTTCATAGACAGTCCAAGAGGGAACAGCAAATTATACCACACATGAGCCGTTAATTCTTGAACAGAGACCATATTTCAATTAATAATCATCTTGATTTTAGTTTATGGAAAAAAGTTTTCTAAAAGCTACAGAGGAAAAGCGAGGTAAAAAATGAAGGAGCTGTTTTTAAACAAAGGCTCAGTTCAGACCATGAGTATTTGCTTTAAATGTGTGCTTCCTGCAACAAGGGGAGCATTCTGGTGTTACAAGAATCCTTAGAGAAAGGCTGGGGATTCAAGTACCCATGAAAGCCCCAGCTTGCAGCAGTGCTAAGGAGAGTGATGTAACCTTTAGGAGGTGCTTGACCTGTCTTGCCCTGAAAAAGGTGGGTTTGGCACAGCATTAGACAGTTTGCCCTTCACTTAAAGATAAGCCTCAAGAGCATAGCAGGGCTCGGCTTGGACTGCTTTGAAATTTGGGTTAATAAGAAATCCTGTTGCTGCTGGTTTTTATGTGTTTGGCCCCCACAGCCTCTCTCAGTGCTTTGAACCAGGAGTGCTGCAACAGTGGCACTTCTGGCTGTCCCCATGGCAGAGGACCTGGGTCAGGGATGGCAGAGGAGAGTGGCTGGTTCGGTGCTCACCACTGCCAGGGCCTCCAGGAGAGCTTGAATTAAGGAAGTTGTGTAACCCACCCACAAGAAGTGAAGTAGGAGCAGGTGTTTTCCCCAAGCAAAGTTTTTAATTGTTGCCAAACAGAACATAGTGCTACCTCCCCAAAATGGTCATATTTGACCTATTTATGTCTTGAAGTTGGAATAATACTGAGAACCTCTTCTCTGGTGCATTTCTTTCTTAAATTTTCCTACTCCATCCAACCAGTTTTTAAAGTGGATGTACAGGAGACATTTGTCTGCTGCCAGTTATGCACCAGCTGCACTCACCAGTCCCTGAGTGTTCACAGCTGGAATTAAGCTGGGTAGTAGGGCTGCTATATATAGACTCACATTATATTCCAGCACTGTGACCAGAGAGAAGTTCCCAGGGCTGGCTCTCGCTTTGTCACAGTCCAGGGCAGGACAGTATTCAGGCTGCACCGGTGTCAGGGCACAAGCAGGCAGGACACCTGGCTGGAAATTTTGCTCTGTGTTGTACTAGGTGCTTTCCATGTCAGCAGCCTGCAGGCATATGAAAACAAACCAGCCAGAACCAACACTGTCAGCAGGGTGGAAAGAACAGTTATTTCTCCCCTACCTGTCCAGGTTGCTGTTTTCTGGTTTGTACTGACCCTGGTTGGCAGACAAAATAGGAAATGATTGGTACAAGCATGAGATGAGCTCCTGGCACTCAGCTTGTTGCTGACCTCTCCCAGCTCAAACCAGTGATGGGCACAGAAGTGCTGCTGCTTTGTGCAGTGAGCTCACGGGAGGGGTAAATCTGTGTATAAAATACAAGCGGCTCCAAGATCCCGAGAACTTCTTCAAAGTGTGGGGTGGCTCCCTCAGGCAGTCACACTGTGGGGCAGCACAGCTGAATTCAGTGCAGGATCACTCAGGAGAGCACTGTAGGGGCTCTCCATGGATGTGAATAAGAGTAAAATGGCCTTAGCTCATGCCTGTTAATTTGCAGTGTATATTATTGATTGAACTTCTTCCTACTTTTGGTTATCACAAATATCTCACAAATGTCCAGCTTGAGCAGTTTGTGTAAAATGATATCTGCATGGTCCTGTGTCACTGAACTGAGCAGAATTAGTGATGCAGCTGAGATTTGGAAAAGAAAAATACATCCAGAAGAGTTGGTTCTTGGGTCCTGAAGGTGATGCTTTGAAATGTGTTTCTTTGGGAAACTGTGACCATTTTTCTGTGGTGAACTGTATCTTTTCCCCTGCAAACATGAGTATGTATTATTAATAAAGATATATCTTCTTTTGCAGCAAGCTCCAAGTTACTTTGTCAGTAACATTGAGAGCAGAATACCGTTATCTTCTGAAGGTCAGTGATTTTACACTGTCTTAATTTCATATCAAGCTGTACTGAATGTGGGATGAGCTTTCATATCTTTTAAAACACTGTCTTTTGCAAACAGGTGTTTTATCTAGCTTTCAACATGTCATTCATCTAAACCTTAGGGTATGAAAAGGGAAGAGAAGGGACCAGGCTGCAGTTACATCAGTATTGTTACATTTTCTTTTTTACCTCAATAACTTTCCCTGCCCCACCTCTTTCAGAGCAGAGATTACTTCAAACCTAAATTTAAGATACAAAACAGTCTTCAGAGTTTTTATCTGCAAACACACAAAAATGCTGTGACTCCAGTGCAGGTGTCTTTCCAACCTAATCAGCAAAGTGAATGAATACAGTACCTGGATCACACAAACTAATCAGTTTAATCATATGTTTTAAAACCCTCAGCTACACTTTGTGTCCCCCAGAGTGGTGCTGACAAGAGACATTGCTCTCCCTGGCTGTCACTGCCTCTCTGACAGATACTGCCATTTCACAGTCCATCAGCTGGATTTTTGCAGTGAGCAAGCCCCTAATTTTCCTAATGTAAAAATGACTGAATTAACTGTACCAGCAGACACTGGTGTACTGATTTTGACTGAAGAGGACCAAGAGTATGCACATGATGTGCTGGCAAGATGTGGTTGAGATACACCGAAGCAGAGACGGTGATAGGGAGGATTTTGTCTTAAACTGGCCTTTCTGCTCTCAAAGGAGGATGTACATAAAGGAAATACCCAGGTCACAAAATCTTTCCATGTTGGAGCTTGAGCTGTATTTTTCATAAAGTACTGTGACACTAAAATATCTTTAACAACATATTTAATACATAAAGTAATACAGACTAGTTATGTCAAATTCCCATGCTAGAGATGGTATCTCATTTTTGTCTGGAAATAGCTATGCTGGAGACCTAAGGTAGCTGCCTGCTCCTGAGAGGATTCCAACCCCTTTGCAGACTCAAGTTGTTAAAATATGATTTGGAGAAGTATCTGAAATTTTAGCCACTTTGTCAGACCCAACCTCAACTGAGTCACCCATTGATACTTAAAGCACTCATTTAAACTTGGAAAAATATAAATTATACTTTATGGGGAAAATATCCATGCTTTAGTCACATCAGTGACTGCTCCTCTACCAAAGCAACTGGGGATCCTCCCTTTTATCTCAGAAAGGTGTTGCTTCCAATAGAGCCAGTGTGGATTCTCACTTGCCTCTTTCTGGCCTCCAGGTATGTTTTACTATGCAGCCTTAAATGAGAAGCTGTTTACAACAAAGCTGGGGAACTCCTTTAAGTGTGCCAGCAGGCAAACCTTCACCTTGGAGAAGAACTTCCAGATCCTCTTTGTTCACATGCAGCTGCAGGCGTTTGAGATTGTTGGTAACCAGTTTGGGAAAGGTAAGTAGAAGGATACCTTTCCACCCTTCCAAGATCTACCTGTCAGCACTCAGGTAGCCTGATAGATACAATCTGCTAAATTATACCTATACACATGGGGTGATCCTGCTACAGCACAATCACAGTTTTGTATTTGTTCCCAAATAATGTAACCTGTCCACTGCTGTACTCTCAGCCTTCTCTTCCAACACAGTGCTAATACCTGTGGAGCATGGAAAAATATCTTTCCCTCCTGCATTCAGTACCTTCTGTCTCACCTTCTCATGAAAAATGTTCAACTCTACAGCTAGAATTTTATTCTTCACCCATTTCCTCCCAGAGCAAGCAGAGGTGTGTTCACCACCAGTGCACTGCCCAAACCCCCAGCTTTACAGTTCAGTCTCAGGTCACTGTTCTCAATATAGTCAGATTTTAGCTATTTTTAAAAGCTCCTGATACTCAGGTTGTCTCACAGCTGCAGCAGCAAAACTGCCAGCTAATAAGGGATATTTGTGAATGCAGGATGATACTTTCAGAGCAGCTGTGTCTAGACATGACAAAATGTGCTCCTGAGGAGGATCACGATTGGCACAGCCACAGATTCAGAATTAAATGTGATGCTCATCTCTGCAATTCGTCTTTTCTTGGAGGAGCACCACAAAGAGACAACCAGGTCTCTTAGTAAAAGACCAGAGAGGTGGACTTGGTGGAACCTTGTGGTCTCTTTCAAATTGTACATCTCATTTTTGCGACTTCCTCTCAGGGTGTTTCCATTCAAGAACTCAGGTGAACTCAGGGTTTACCAGCTCTCCAGCCCTTCAGATGCACTAAAAAAACACTCCCTCTTCTGACACTTGTCTCTCTGCATGCTTACAAAATATTGCCCCTGTATTCTTCTTTTTAGTTTAGATCTGTCTTTTGACTCACTTTGGCTGTGTTTGGTCAGTTCTTCTTCTGTTAGGTCACCATTTTCTAAAAGGAATATAATGGGAAATGACACTTGGGGCTGTTTTAATACACTGGCCTTTTAAAAGCCACACTGAGAACCCAATTTATGCTCTCATTTTCATGAAGAATTTTTTTCATGGGATAACAATGCCTGATATCCCATCTGGTCTCCACATTCCCATTCAGATTTGTACAATGAGTGGTTTCAGTTATGGCATTTGGTATGGCCTCAGCTCTAGCAAAGACTGAGCTGAGAAAGATGTTCTCTCTCTGACTCCAACATCAGGCTGATCTCTGCTAACCAATACCATATACAAATTTAAATTAGTTTTGCTCTTAATCAGAGAGCTGAGCAATCAGTTATCACTTCTGAAATAATTCCCCAGTGGCTGTGAAATAGCCATGAAACTGTTACATACCTTGGCTGTGTATGCAGATTTTGATGGACAAAATCCCCAGTGAAAGAATGACTCTAAATACATCACCAGCCACCTCCCTTGGGTATCTCAAGACTCCTAGTTTCACTTCTGCTGGTCTTGATGTGCTTATCTTTAAAAGGGGAAGAAAAAGAAAACATTAATCGTCACTGGTTTCAAGTTCCTTACAATTTTGTACAGACTGCAGCAGTGTTACATCAACAGCTTGGCCTGTCTGAGTCTGCAAAGCTTAAAAGTGCCTTCTGAACTGTATTTCAGTATATCAGAAACAGTTCCTAGAATTCATAGCCCGAGGTTTCATCACATAAAAATGGCTAGTTCAAACATCTCTGGCTTTTACAATACTTAAATGCAAATATTTTTCATCTCATTTAACAGCAGGTTACATTAACCAGACAAAGCTTTTAAAAGGTAACATCTAGTAGAGTATTGATGCCTTTGGCTTTGTGGCATCACCATCTGGATTAGAGGAGAAGAGGATCAGATTTCGGGAAGAGCCATGTGGAGGCTCTGGAGCTGTGACATCATGTCATGCATTCCACATGCTCCCTGGGCAAAATTCCCTCTGTCAGTGTAAAGATTCCCATGGTGGAGAAGCCCAAGCCAAGCTACAATCTGTGCCAGCATAGTCACTGGAATAACAACAGGGGCTTTTGTCTCAGAGTGCTGTCAAAACCTGCCTTGGAATAGTCACAGGGAGTGAGAAGGGCAGAGGGTGTTGGATCCACAAATATTCTGAATTAATTGGGAGAATAATTAGAATTTGATTTTTCTCAGGAAACACTGATTTAATGAGGATCCTGCTGGGCTAGTGACTTGGACTATGGGCTCCCTTCTCTGGCCTGATCCTTTTTACTGGGTAGATTAGATTAGATGCCACATAGGAGCAGTTTTTGACCATGCAGGATGTGTCCTGCTCTTTATTTTTAGACTGGCATTTTGTAGTGTGATGCTCCCCATCTGCTACCAGCAAGAAAGCTCCTGCTGTGTGTGTGTGCTGAGTGGTAAAACAATTCCCACAGACATGAGGGAGCAGAGTCACTCTCTAGTGAAGCGTGGAGCTACTGTGAAAGGGGCAAGGATGGTTTTCTTGAGATAAGGTTTACCACAGATAAAAACGTATTAAGTATAGCTCAGGAAAAAGAAAGAAAAACCAAAAGAAAACAACATTTTGAGAACATCTACCTTGTATTGGCTAACTTTTCTGGAATACAGATGTACTGTCTCGGAGCATGGTGCTCTGCTGTAACACATTCTTTGATTTTTTCCTTTCAGAAGAAGAATGTTTTCCTGATAGAAACAGCAAAGCAGCTCCCGTCGCAGTGGGCCTGAGTATCCTGGGGTTGTTTGTCATTGTGTTTGTCACCTTCCTGATTTCCAGGAGGAAGCCACACAGAGGATACGAACGCATCTGAGGTGCCCTTGTACTTCCAAATGTGTGTAGCAAGCAGAGAAGTCACAGGAGTTTTAGCTTCTGCCTGGCAATCTCACTGCCCTGAAGCCACATTTTTAAGTGAGATGACACCAAGTGCTTAAATCTAATGAATATTTCTGGAAGTAGTTTCTTTAGAGTAGGAAGGAGACAACTCATACCCTCTACTTTAGGCTATTCTTAGCATCTGATTTAGGTGTAGCACAGATGACCAAAATAAGGAGCCTAAATTCTCTGTGTTATCAACAAAAGAGTTAATTCAGACCACCTAAGTCAGATTCCTAGAGATAGCTTAAAGTAGTATTGGTATCCCCAAGAAAATCCAGCAGGTTTGTTAGTGATAAGGTTTAGATTCATTAAAATACATAATTTTGGTGATATGACTTGCAAATGAATAAAGCAGAGGTCCAGAGTAGACACAACTCTGTTTAAACTAGAGCTTGTGGGAACACTGAGGGTGCCAAAATCACAGGATAAGTGTCAGTGTGACTCCATTCACAAGCAAGTTCTCACCAGTCCTACAACAGAGTTACACTTCCTAAATGCTTGTTTTTTTTCCTATTAAGCCCTTTGCAAAGACACAGTGGTAATGTGTGACCCTTACTCTGGAGCTGAATATGTCACAGTCCTGTGAGAGCTCACGAATCACACACGTCCTGTTCAGACATGGACCTGTCACGGTGACCACCACTGAGCCAGTAACTGCCCCTCTACTGAGATGGCAGCACAGGGATCTCTGAATCTGGGAAGATGCCACACTCACTGGAAGTGCCTGGGATTCAGTGAGCACCGTTGTGGCAGACCTGCACAAGGTCCATGAGAAATGGAGATCCACTGACACTGTATGTTCAAGGCTTCTATAAGAACTAAAAGCTTGCACAGTCCTTGGACAAACTCTCTGTCCAAAAGTGAATGTTACCCAGTGTGCTTACAGCTGAGCAGCTGGATTTCCATATGGAAATAATTTGGAGTTGCTTTAAAGCACATTAATTGATACACTCTGCATTCTATTTCCTGCTAAACCAATGATGAAGGCATGAGAGTAGTAATTGCTTTTGAGGTTAAGTCCAGCTCATGTTCTTTGTTGTAACAAGGAAAAAGCTCCTTGTCACAAAAGATTTACAAAGCTAAACATGTACTCAAATGTGCACATACACACACACATGCGTGGTGCACACACCACACAATCTGCTCACTGAAGCCAATGATGTCCAAACAATAAGAAATTATGTACAAAGCCATTTGCAAAAGAGAAAATAACAGTAAACAAGAGCACATTTTCCCCTAAGGAATTAGGGTAATGGCTGAGGAAATAATTAAGTCTCCAAAAATGTTCCCTTTGAATCTGAATGAACCAAAAAATGAGAAAGATAAAGACAATTCTGAAGCACTTCTGCACTTGGAGAAACATCAGAGAGAAGTCAGAACCAGCTGTGAGCACAGGGGCAGCTGAATACATTTATAAGGCATATAAAGAAATGGGATACCAAGCACAAGAAATAGGATACCAAACTTTCCAAGCTTTAATACAGACACAGTGATTAACTGTTTTCAGTTTAAAGCTCAGAATGGTCCGACCCTAAACTGTTCTGCCCAGTGATCAATAAACCTCTCCCACTCAAAGCTAAGTTGTATTTCACATGTTCTTTGGATTGCTGGGTTGCATAATCTGTACAGTGTGTTATTTCTGCTGACATGGAATATTTGCTTGTTCTGTTCTGTTAATATTCAGTCTTTTAAAATCTGATAACAGGATGAGGAGAGAAAACTGTTCCTAATGACTGCTAATTCTCTGTTTATTCTTGTGACACCCTCTGGCATTACCAGAGATTGCAAGATTAACGTTTTTCCCCTCCACTTTTTTTATTTCTACACTGAATCAACCTGGTGGCATTGAACAGTGTTTGATTCAGGTTTACCTGATTTGTTCTTATGCTTTTTATTGCTATTGTTTGCAATTTTTATGAAGTTGCATAGACCTTTCTAGATGAATGATACTCTGGGCTTGCTCTAAATGTCACAGGGGAAGTGCACGTGGTACAAACCGATGAAACATCTGGGTGCTCCCAGGAAATGCTGCCAACATGCAGCAAAATTAATCCAGTGGAGTTAGTGCTTTACAGTAGTAGAAGATCCATTGGAGAATTCCTTACTGCATCAGGAGATTCCAGCCCCAAGTGCAACCTTTCTCCCACCTGTGGCCCAATGTGCATCCCCTCACCTCTTTTCCTGATCACAAAATACAAGCAGCCTGCAGCAGGGATGTGTGTCAGCACACCAGCATAGCAGGGAATGTTGCCTCTTCAAATTTAATGCTGAATTAGAATTAGACAGCCCAGCTGCTCCCTGAGCTGCCAACTGCAGCTTTAAAAGCTGATGCCTGTATTTATTTTCTGCCAGAACTTAAGTAGATGTTTAGCTGGTACTCTTTTATCTAATGGAGTTGCCTTGAGCTCTTCCTCCCATTGGGAAGATTCTATAGGGTTCATGGGCCTTGTTCTTGCCAGACCTGCTCTTTTAAATATCTTGTCTGAGGAAACATCTTGAGCAAAAAGTCCCTGAAAGAGCACAGTACGAAAAGAGCTCTTATGATAAACTCGCTGGACACTAGGTGGGCCATAATAGTCATACTGTGGGCAGAAGGGGACAGTTTCATCTGCTGTGGGAGGGCACAAGGCTGCAGTGGGTCCCAGAGTGACCAGTGCTGGTCTCAGTTTTTCTTCCCCCAGCTGCAGACTCAGATCAGCCCATCCCTGAACAGAAGATGCTGATTAGGAAGGCATGATGCACCAGGGCAGCAAAGTTTAACTTCTGTACACACATGTGCTGCTCAGGAGACAGGAATTAGGGGGTGAGCACATCCCCACATCCCGATAGCTCCTGGTGCTCTGCTGCAGCTCCCACCCCAGACCATCCACCATGGCCTCTTGCACATCCAAGGCAGACACAAGGGCATCCCATCAGCATGATGATGTCACACTTAGCCAAATCTCTAAGGAGTTTATAACAAGGTTTAATTTCTTTCAGTGCTTTTTGTTCTCTGATGGACAAGTCCAGACTAAGGAACAGCTGTTAATTCAGCTGAAAGAGGAAGGGAGATGTAGATCAGCACCTGAAGTGTCTGAAGGTGGTTTGGTTGATCACTTCTGGCTTGCCATAATGTATGGTTGCTAAAAGTAACTTGCTATGAGAAGTAAGATATGCTCTTTATTTTTCTATTATTGGTGTTTCTATAATAAAGGTTGTATTTAGTCATTAGAGTGTGCATTGCTGTGGAATTAATTTATCTTTTGAGTGCTGTTTCACTTGAACTGTTTAAAATACAAGTACAAGCTAACAAACAGGGCTCTGGTCACAAACCACTGACACAGTTATGTTTATATCCTAACCATAACTTTGATGATTATTTCTTCTGTGGCTTGGGCAGCTCCTCTGACATTTCTATAATTGTTTTATCAGCATTATTAAAAAAAAGGCATTGAAAATATTACATGATTTTCTGTTAATCTCCTCACAACTTCTAGAGAACCTGAATTCACTGTTTCTTTATACAACCACATCTCTTCTTTCCTATTGATCCAATAAACAAAGACCATAACTCCGCAGCAAAATGAGATGGATGCTTGTTACTTCATGTTTAAACTGTTTTCAGAGTTAATAATCTTACAGATTATGGTATGAGTCTTTTGAGGAGAATGCATCCTTTCAGCATGCAGTTATGGAAACTGGAGGAAACAAATTGCTTGGAAAATGCCACACATAAACTTGAAAACTCAGCAGCTTCTATTGTGGTAAAAGGAATTTCCCAAAGAAGACAGGCTGGACAAGATCATCCTTAAAGGTCTTTTCCAACCCAAACCAGTCTATGATTCTTTGTGACTTTGCTGATTGTCACATCAATGGGCAGCTTAAAATACTGTAACTGTATGAGGTAAACTTCTCAGTAAAAGGGGGCACTCAAAAATTTTTCAGCTTCATCTTTAAAGATTTTTTTGGAGGAACTTCAAACCAAATCTGTCCAGATCTACATCTGGTGAACAACTGCAGCCAGAGCCTGTTTGGGGTGCAGGTTCCTGTAATGCCTCTAAGGCTGTTGCTGGGGGTTTGTCACATCCTAGAGCTGGGTGGAAGAGGACAATACCTTGTCAGTGGTGAGCAAGGTAAGGCTCCTAAATGGCTGAGGGAGTCTCACATGTTGTGCTCTTCATGGCTAAAGAAGCAAAGGTTGTAGATGGACTGCAGGAAAGCAGAAGATGTGGTAAAGATAGTGGAGAAAACCCCATCTCTCTGCTGCTGCCAGCTGATTGAGGAACTTGGCTGTTGGAGAGGGGCCAGTGAGGGCAGCAAAGGGACCGTAACTTCCCCCAGTGATAAAATATCAGAATTCTGTTTCACTGGTCATTTCTGATGTCAGTGCAAATCCCCCCATGATAGACAACTTATGGCTACAGGCCACAGGTTGAAAACTTCCCAAGCCCCTTGATTTGTCCCTCAGCAGAAAAGCAGGGCTGTCTGGAGAGCAGGGGCAGTTTACTCTGCTCTCTGGCACTTGTCTGGTCTGGTACAATATTAAGTTTGGTGCCAGGCTTACACGTATTTAGTGGGCAAAGTTCCTCTCTTATTCGTGTCAGTTCTAAAAGCTGGCACTGGTGTGTGTGAAGTAGACCCTCAAAGGCTGCTAGATGTCTCAAAATTCTCTTTCTTGACAAAGTTTAATGGCAGATGAAGGAAGAGTCAACCATTTTTACTTTTAAGGTAAAAAGCCCCCATCTTGTGTCCAAGAAGCACAAAGGTTTGGAATTCATTGAAGAAGCCTTTACATGAGAGTGTCTGGAAGAAAATAGAAAGAGTATTTATTTAAGCATCAGTTTGAGCAACGTAAGAGTGAGGAGAGAAAGATTTCTAAGGAGTTAACCCTTCACGACTAAGGTGACAAGATGCTTGCAGACTACACTTCCTTTCTCACAACCATCAGAACTGCATGCTAACATGGGCATGTGTGTCTGAAGGTTATCAGCCACAGCGACATAACACTCCTGGGTTTTCATGAGCGTCTGGGCTTTCCCAGCTGGCCACAAAAAGTCACAAAGCCCACACTTCTCTTTTTCTGCAAGTGTTATTGCCTATGAAGTTGGTAGATCCCAAGTACTTTATTAAATTATAATCTAATTGGCTCGGTTTGTTACTTAACTCTTTCTTCACAATTTTAAAAAGGAGTAGGTTGCATTTCCAACATGCAAACCCAAAATAAATGGCTGCTGGGAAAAAGGAAAGTGTCCAATCTGAGGCAGACTATCTGTGTTTATTAGAGACACAGATCTTGGTTTTGAACCTCAGTTTTGCTGGGGCTTTCCTATACCACAAAAATTTTTGAAGATTATGCATCATGAGTCCAGCCAAAGTTTAACCTCATTTATTTTGGCATGGAATGACATTTTTTCATCTGCTTAAGGAAAATTATTTCATATTTCAAATTACGGTCTACGCAATCTGCTCATGGAAGAAAATGATAATGAGAACACGACTCATATTAGTAATCAAAGCAGCTCTCAAAATATGTCAAACTTCCACAATAAAATTTAAAATGTTGCCCATCCAACCTCCATGCATCACTAGGTTCATCACAGTGCTTCTGTCTACGCATGTACACATTAAGCATATTACCGGTGTCAGTGAGAGAATTATTATTTCTGCACTTCAGTGTTACTACACTGCACTTTCAAACATCTCCATGTACAATCTGGTGATTCCACTTGACTCTGCAAGCCCTAAAAGCCATGCTTGCAGAATGCCTTCCATGAGCAGATTTGCAATATAAATGAGTTTGTCACTTCCATTAGTTCTGTGAAAAGAATGAACTCTTCCACCATCTCTGATTTAGGTATTGTAAAATATCTGTAGCTCTTCCCAATATTCAATAGTTAAGCTACATAAAATGCTGCCATCTTGTGTTTAGAGATAAATTAAACATGCAACTTTAAAAATCTGGATTTTGAAAGACAAAAGTGGGATTTACAGTGTCAGCACATTATGTGAAAAAGATTGAAATGAACAAATTATGGAAAAGTGGAAGCTTCACTTAATAATTTAGCTTTTAAAATTTCATCCTTAGAGCAAGTGCTGTGCCCAACACCTCTTGCAGTCAGGTCCAAGGGACTGCACAATTTCCCCAAGCTGATCTGGTGTCTGTTTAACCTGCTTGAGCCACTCAGTCCATGGTGTGAGGGGTCACCAGGGAAAATTAAAAATAGCAAGAGTGGAACAAGCAGAGATTGCTTGCATAGGAAGAATGCTCCTTATGTAAAAAGCTTTGTTGATGCTTCAGGGTACAGAGAACACATAAGACATGTTAAACGCTGTCACTATTGCAATTAACAGCTTGTGCATTCCTTTTGTGAAAAAAGCACGGCCGCTTTGCCATTTGTAAACAAGAATTAGAAATACTTATTTTGACTGCGCTGGGGCTGGCCAGGTTTAGCAAGGCCTGCAGTGTGGTGAGCCTTAAACTAACTGATATTGGGAAGAAATTCTACCCTGTGAGGGTGGCGAGGCCCCGGCACAAGTTATCCAGAGAAGCTGTGGATGCCCCATCCCTTAAGGTGTCCAAGGCCAGGCTGGACAGGGCTCTGAGCAACTTGGTCTAGCAGAAGGTGTCCTTGCCCATGGCAGGGGGTTGGAACTGGATGATCTTTGATGTCCCTTCCCACTCAAATCTATGAACTGAAAAGCTCCGAGGCCTGAGGGAGCAGAACGGACCCAGCAGGTCAGGATGTGCTGATCCCACTGCTCCGTGACCCGCCCCATCCACACGGCGCAGTTCTGATCCAGGGATCCGGGCCTGAGCACAGGGATGCTGCGGTGCGCTGGGACCCCCGCGCCCTTCCCAACAACCCTCACGTTCACGTGTCGCTACTCCATCACAACCCCGGATCTCATTCCCGACGGAGCCCGCGTACCCATCAACTCGGCAGTCCTTGGGCGGCGCGCATCGCTTCGCGTTTGTAGGACATTTATTCTGTCTGCTGCCTGAGCGCCCACTTTCTCGGCGTCACCCAACCCCGCCTCCCGCCAGCCATTTCCCCGCTGTCCCGGAGCGGGGGCCGGCCGGGCTCGGATCCCCTCCCCGTGCCGAGCCCCGCTCTCCCTGAGGGCTCTCCCCGGACCCGCCCCCGCCGCGCAGCCACTGCGGGCCGGGCAGGGCCGCGCACCCCCGCCCACAACATGGCGCTGGCGGCGGCGGCCGAGCGGGGCCGCGGCGGCCTCGGGGTGCTGAGGCGGCTGTGAGTGCGGGCACGGGCCGGGCCGGGGGCGGGAGGGGCCGGCCGGAGCCGCCCACAGCGAGCCCCGAGCTGGGCTGCCCGGGGAGGAAGGGAAGGGCGCTCGGATGGGCGTCTGGGGGTTCTCCGGCGCCCCGGGCTGCCCTGTGGGAAGGTAGACGGGGAAACCCCCGCGGTTTGAAGGGATCGCGGTCGCCGCTGCCGCGGGTGCCGTGATGAAGCTGCCCCGGCGCTCGGGGGCCCGTCCGCAGCCCCTGCTCACCTGCCACACCTGCGTGGCACAAGCTGGGCAAGGGAGGAGTTTGGCAAGTGCGCGAAAATCACTATCTCGTTGTTAAAACTGAGGTTTAGTTGTGTGGTGCCTTTTTGCTTCGACAGCGCTTCAGAGTTGGCTGGGCTTGATCCCAGATTGCAGAGTTGATTTATGTACTAATTAAAACAGCCCCGGGAATTCGCCTTCACAGTTTCATCCAGCCGCTTCACCTTGGCTACGCCTTTTTATTAGCATTAGTCGTTTGAGGTTAAGGTTTCTGAAAGTCTCCACAGCTTTTCTCTCTTGCTGCCTTTCACATTCTTTCTCCTGCACTTTTTCTCTATAGAAACATCTCCTATTGCCATTTTGAGCTTTTCTATTTTTTTGTTGTCCACATCTTCTTTCCCAAAATACTTTAAGTTGGCTTCTCTAGTAAATGCCAGATGTTGGCTGTTCTGCCCACTAAAAGACTTCTTTAAAGAAAAAAACCTTAAAACCCAATTGTTTCTCTTTTAATGCTGCTAAAATAGCAAAGGGATAATTTTTATTGTGTCTAAATGAAAGCACAACTTTCCTTGTCGTACCTGAATATGTAAACAGGTGTATCAAAAGCTTCAGAGCTATTTCAGTGCTGTCCTTCTCTCACCTGAAAATAAAACTAGCTCAGTTGCCACTTCTTCATATGCATTTGTAACACTTCTGTGTGCTTATAATTGTACAGGCAATGG